CCTAATACTTGAATATAGGTTGTCTTATGAAAAAACCCAGACCAGATGTTTGAAGGACCAGTAAAGATCAGGCTCTGGCACCAAGATTGTCCTGATACATTATGTTAAAATCATGATTAGCATTTTTCTTTTAAGTATGCAGTGCATTACCAGCTATTTAATTAATTAGGATAATACAATTAATCTGTGGACTGATAACTTCTTTCTTTAAATGAATTAAACCCATTTTTATAGTACAGTGCAGCTCTTCACTTTCAGGAACTACAGAAAACCGAGAGTAAGGAATGTTTATTGATTCATTTTCTTTTTTTGTTGCAGCCTGTGATAAACATATTTCCCGTCCCAGACTCTGAAGGCCTGATGTTCGTATCTTTGGGTCAGCTGGAGATAAGAGAGCTGAGGTAAGAATATTGTACGTCCCTTTGTGGTGTGGCAGAATTGGTTATACTCTGGCTGCATTAAAAAGTCTTTGTGTAAATTGTAATGATTTGGTGTGTCGACCCCTACATAAGGGAGAAAAGACTTGAACTCTGTCAGGGAAGTTTTTTTAAAAACAATGAAGCTACTAAGTTTGATGAGCCTCTGTACATGATGGCACATAACTGCTTTAATCAGATCTAGATTTCTCACATTTAAAAATCTTTAAATCATCCAGGTTATACAAGCATAGATTTAGTTCCTTCTTTAATTTGTTGGATGCTTTATTGCTCATTCTTTTCATGCCCTTCATGTCAAGCCAAGCTCATGAATAAATGAACTCAGTAATAATGTTTAACTGTCTCTTGTGTGTGCGGTTTGTTTTGCAGAATGCTGTCCTGTTTCAGCCTCCGGCAGATGCTAATATGCGAGGGCATCATCCATGCAGTGGTTGGCTTGTTCAACTCCAGAGTGGTTACCTCCTCCGATTCTACTGTAGGCTCCACCCTGCAGGTGTTTACGCTGTCAGACAGCAGCAGGTAAGGCGGACTGTCTCCCGTCTCTCGCTGATACACTGATATTAGATTCTAATTTAGCATGTCTTTCAGCAGACTGAGTTCTCAGCCTCTTGTGTCTCCTGGTGTCTGTGTGAGCGCTCTCGCTCCAGTAGAGGGACTTCCTGATGCTCTCATTGGTACAGATGAGGGAGGACACCTTTTTATCTGGTGAGTGATGGTGGGAGGGAGCACTACTGATTAGATCAAAAACCCACCCATTGTTTTTACCTCCCTTTGTTAGTAAATTGAGGAATTGTATTTTTAAATTCAATAGTGTGTATTACTTTAAAGAACGGTAACTAGGGAAAAAAATATGCACAAGCCTCAAAACCCTTCATAACTCTATAACCACAATGGTCAGTGTAGTTTGTTTTGGGGTTTGATGGATCAATAGTTCATTACATCATCCTGATTTGAAAAGGTGGAGTTCAAACACAGACTGGGATCTGATCAGTATTTCCTCAGACTGGAAATAAAATAGGAAAAATATTCAGATTTTTAGGCTTATTTCCATGAATTCTGTCTTCTAACTGTTGTATCCTGTCATACCTCCTTTCTCCTACTTTCCTTCCTCTTAAGCTTGTATACTTCAGTCCTTTATCCTCCCTCCCATTAACTGTTTTCTTCCCTTTCTTCCATCTCAGTCTGCCTTTTCTTTTTAGTTAATTTACTTAATGACTTGCATGTGTCCTCCTCCCTACCTCATCCATGCTTTGTTCTCTCCTTTGTTACCCTCCTTCCTTTTTTTCATATCCTACATCCATTCCTATTGTTGCTCCTTCCTTTCTTATGGTCTACCTGTTTTCCCCCCTCATGCCCCTTCGTTTTTGCCATCCCTTTTCCATTTTTACCTTTGTGTCACCCTTTCCGTTCATGCTGGTGTCTTTGCTTCATTTATCCTTTCTTCTTCCCTTGTGTCCTTTCTTCCTTCCTTCTTTCCAGTTTCTGTTCTTTTTTAAGCAGCAGGGAGAAAGACATTGCTTAGTTTTTGGAAAGACAGATAATTTCAGAGGCTTACGGGTCTTCAGTCTAAGGTGAAAGTTCACCGTCTGCAAAATAAAAAAAACTAGATATGCATCCATATTTTGAGCTATTTCACAAACAAGAATGGGCAAAGATGGGAGTCTCTCAGTTTCATAATGGATTAAAGGAAAAAAAGTGATAATTTTTTTATTTCTGTCATTTTCTTTAAGGAATTTAAAAACTGGCCAGCTGCTGAGCAGAGTGCTGCTAGAACACAGTTTATCCAACACAGCCTGCCTCAGAGGTTACTCCCACTGTGTAAGTAACCCCATGATATGACTGTCACCTCAAGTGTGAATGATTATCTTTATGTATTTTTCTTTTAATTGTCGCGCAGGGATTGTTGCTAGTTCTGCTGCAGCATCAGTTCCTGAGATCCCTGGATCTAGAAAATAAAGAGAAACAAGAGAAAAATGAGATTCTTTCAGAGGGGAAGCTGAAGCCAGCATTGTTCTCTTTAGTTGGCATAAATCCTCTGAGTGGAAAATCTGTCTTGGTTACTGCGGTGCGTCCTCCGAAGAGTTGGACCGGCAGGTAAGATGAAGAGAGATGGAGGATAAGTTTGTTTGGCACACATTAGTGTGATGCACACCTCCTCCTCCTTTGCCCAACAGGATCTGTGAAGTAGACATTAACCGCTCCAGCATAGTGGGCCTGAGTCAGAGCGGTCGTGTCTGCGTGTGGGAGCTCGGAGACGGGGGAACCCCTCGGACGATGGAGGCTCCGGAGGATGAGGACTGGCAGCTAGCTCGATGGGGGGAAGAGGACTCGCTGGTGATCGGACATCAGAACGGAGACGTTTCCTTGCATTCCTACAGCAGCGTCAAGCAGATTCATCACACTAAAAAAGACTAGAACCCCGCTGCTCTGAGAACATTGATCAGTTTAAGCTGAACTAAATCTATTGTCACCTTATCAACCAGCCTCCCTAACAGAAGTTCCTCCTCTTTGCTCAGGCTGCTGTAATTACAGATAACTGATGTCTTTTCATGCTGTAAATCCAGCAAAGCAGCAAGAGGAAGATCTGGTTTTATCTCAGATGTGAACCACAGGAACTGTTTTTGACTGAAGATTTCCAATTCTTTCTGTACTGTTCAACTTTACTTTTATCACCACTGCTGTTTTAACTGTTCTTTGCTTATATGCATGAATATTGTTATATTTAAAGGAGAAAAAAAATTCTTATAGTTTGTATTAAAGTTTTCTATTAAAAATGCGCATATTTGACTTGTTTTCTTTTTCTTTGGACATTAACTGCTTTTTATCAAAGCATATTAATGGGAAATAGATTGAAGAGGAAAAGTGATTATAATAAAAAAGACAACAGTAATAACCAGAGCCTTGAGAAAACAAATGAAGTTAAGCCCATTTAGAGTGTGGGGTAGATCCACAAGGCATAGATTGTGGCTGAAGTTGGTGTTACTAGATTACAACTTAAATTCCTTTAGTAAAACTGTCTCGGTAACATCTGAACCATTTTAGCTTTTGGCTAAGGAAAAAGAAATCTCTTCATTAATCATAATTTCTCAAATCTTCTGTAACATTTTTAAACACTCATATAACTGATGATCTGTTTCATCCATAAATAAAGAGATTTTTTTATCAGTTTGGTAAAAGAATGCTTCTCATTTTTATGCAAAATCAAGACTGAATTGCATAAACATTTCCACCCATCTACCTGTATTCTCTGAACTTTATTCTAAAGAACTTTGAGATAATTTCTAATAAATTGGAGCTATGTAAATAAAGCAGTTTATGAATTTGAAGAACTGAGTTTCTCTTTTAGTAACCAAATATAAGTAATACCCTTTTAGAATAGAAAACCCCTTCATTGTCCCACAATGGGGAAATTGTGATGTTACAGCAGCAGCAAGAGATAATAGAAAAAGAGGTCACACAAATGTGGACCTTAAATTGTATAAAAAGAGAATAATTGCTGTAGTGTTCAGTGTTTCTACAATATAAATACTGTGCATCTGGAGAATAATAAACAGATGTAATGGACATGTTAAAATGAACTTATGAATTCCTTTTTAAACTCAAGAATTTTTTTTTTTTTTTAGCTCTTTCCCATTACACAAAAATGACTGAACCTGTGCTTTTCCAGGATGCACACAAACATGTAACTTTTTGATGCACCAGAATCAAATGAGTGGCTCGTTGCCACATCTCTGCTGAGCTAAAATAGGGGATTGAGCCTTTAGATTCAGGTGTGTTAGAGAAGAGATGAATCTACGGTAAGTTACAAGATGGGAGCTCTTGAGGACTGGACTTTAGCACCCCTGATCTAAAATTTTTTTGGACATTCAGATCCATGAACATGAAGAGCTATAGAAACCAAGTAAAGTTGAAGCTTCAGCATTCTGGCGATTTGAGATTTCCAGGATCAGTGTAACCATCTACCAAAAAGAATTCCATCTTTTTTCTGTCATCAAAATGTATTAAGATACCAACAGAATTTCTCAGAAAGCCTTAGTACTGTGTTCTCTCAGATGAGCACACCTCAGTCCAGCATATCTATTGCTAATACAAATGAGCCAGACATATTTGCATTCATCCCTTTAGTTTTGTATGAAAAAGACTTTAAACTACCTCGAAGGGCTTTTATCCCTTTATTCATGTACAAAAAAACAAGTTGAGGTCAGATTGCCCTACGCTTCAAAAGAACACCAAAAAGGAATTAGGTTTTTATGTACAATGCTTAATGGATAACACCCATTGAGATAGTTTAAAGTCTATTTTTCATACAACGGTAAAAATCTGCAATTTCCCTCTGGGATTATTAAAGTATTTCTGATTCTTAATGGGTATCAACTGGTTATGCTGGTCTGACAGGGTATGCTCATCTGACAGAACAGCGGCTGAGTAGCTTTACCAAAAGCTTGAGGATAATGACAATAATGGTATCCAAAGCTAAACCTTAGTAACACTTCATTCCTGCAATATTTAATGCAAACCTGATATGGATCAGTGATTTACGCAACTAAAGCAAAAAATAAAAAATGACAATTTCAATGGAATCTTTATTTAAACAGAGGTACACCATTTTTACAAAAAGGGAAGCATCCTCAACAGTATGTACAATTGTACAAATGCACATCTCATCGGAAAGTCCCAAGTTAAAAAAAATATATAAGAACAGGAAGAATGTACATGTTCAACATCAACATGGTCTAATTCTACACACAGAAAACCGACTTAGAAACAGAAAAGAGGTTGGAGAGGCCTACTTTAATCCACATGGACACCATAGGCTCAGTCTGAAATGCTTCCCACCTCTAAACTTCAAACAACAGACCATAGTGCACAAACAAAGTAGAAAAAGTATTTTCAAGATTATCCGTAGCTGTTTGCAATACAGCAGCCGAGTGTAAAGGAAAGCTTAATTAAAGTCACGGTAAGAATGAAAGTTTCTATTAACAGCAGAAACATTTAAAAACATGAGCAGGAAGTGACACTTTGACACATGAAAGGCATTTTCATTATATAGAGCATTTACAGGTGAGATAAGTTGCACTGCCTGCCCCAATAAAAGATCATTCAAAGGTTTGAGTCAGTGTCAAATGGTGAAGAATCCTGGAAAAGATGTTTACTGTGCAGCAGAGGACTTGTTTTCCAGCAGTTTCTCCACCATGAGCCTGGCGTAGCGCAGGCGGCTAGCCAGTTCCTTGCCGCAGCCAAATTCCTCCAGCAGCGACAGCTTGTAGGTGCGGAAGCCCTGCTTCTCGTCTATGTAGGTCACAGCCCCCATCAGCGGGCACAGGATGAGCTTGGTGTGGTCCTGGAAAAATCAGAGGCGTTAGTCATGAAGCGTTGCAAGGCTGAGAACAGACCAAAGAGGAGGAACGTGAAGCGGGTCTAATCTAACCTGGAAGAAGTTGATCTGAACCAGTCCGTTGGTGAGGTGCAGGACGATGGCGCTCTTTGTTCTAAACCACAGCGAAAGGTACGGCAGCCGCGCAAGCTCGTCCCCTTCCTGCCGTGCCACGTTGGCACCGGCTTTCAGCAGGTGCTCGCTCATGTAGTTACGGAAGTACTTCAGCAGCGTAATCTAGAAGAGAGTACACAAATTTATTGAGCATTACAGAGAAAAATAAAATCAGGTTTGTTTAAAGGCACAGAGAACAGTTTATATACAACAACCAGATTGAATCAACCTTAGAACTATAAACTATTAGCCCCATTTACACTACCTTTTGAAACCATGCCGACAGTGTAGCCGAGACAACTGTTGAGTGTAAATGGCATGCAAACTGAACCAGACATGAATGAACCGCGCAAACATGGTACTAGTTCAGCAACAGGGCTTGGCACAGTTCAGTTCTTGGTTGGTTCTTAGATAACAAAGAGATCATGAGCAGACCGTGCCATCCCCTTACAGTCAGCCTCCATAATCATGAAATTTTAGACATTCATAAAAATGCTAGCTGCCGTACCATGAGGCACGATTTCCAGTGATGATTCTGCTTAGCAGTGTGATGATCCTCAACGTCTGTCATTGTTTCCTGTGTCTATAAGCCCTGATTAGACCATTGTTTATAGTATCCACTTGTCAAGTAAATTCACCAGACTGCCTTCTTTGCCCGATGCTCCACAAACAAAAAACATCACCATAATAAAACGTCCCGAACGCTGCCATTTTAATTTGCTTAATTCCCTCCTTCAATCTTAGAGAGCAGTAGTACCGTAGATAGTCACTAGGAGGCGATGAACCGTCATAGTTTGATGAGATATATAGTTTAAACACATTAAATATGAAACTTGAAAACAATAGACCAACAAGGCAAGAATGATAAGTGGATGGATATCCATCATTAGCTCAATAGATGGTGGGGTAAAAAAAAAAAAAAAAGTTCCTTCCAGAATAACTACTCACCTTCTTGTTCAGCGTAGGGGGGAAGGAGCGCACACTCATGTAGGACTCTGCTGCCGTCTTATCAATATACTGCAGGCTGTCTCCATCCGCGTACATAATGAGCCGAGTGTAATCATTGAACAGAACACCCACACTGTTATCACACAGCTGGTAGCCTAAAAATCAGACATTCAAAGTTCTTGGTGAGAATCTGAATTATTGTTAATCCTTCAATTAATTCATAAAACCTTGATGTGACAAATAAAAGTTAAATGTAAAATATAGCCTTTTATCTCTTAGATGGGAAGAGAAATAAAGCTTGCCTGCAACGAACCCTTGTTTTTGCTAATGATTATTTTTTTGAGCAGATAACAAAGGGTGCCTTAAAGAAGATTTTTGCAGGGATTAACCCAAGCAAAGGTAAAGCTATGCCTGTTGAGGAGTTCTAGATGGAGCATATTCACTGACGAGAAGCTTTACATACTTCATTGCAAAAAGAACAAAACAAACATCACAACATTTTGCATTAACAGTTTAGTTTTCACACATATCTTAACCTGGATAGTAATGATCCTATTCCACACTTTGAGGTCATCTCCAGGACACTTTACAGGTCTATTAAAAGTAGATATCTGAACCACCAGTTCACCAAATATATATTTTTACTCATTTTCTTTTTAAACGCCTAACTGTTTGGCATCACAGTCTGAATACCTACCAAGTCCATATTTGTCCGAGTAATCAACCCATTTGCTGATCCAGAAAATGGGAATGCATGCAGGATCCTCTGCTTCGTCTGGAAACAAAACAAAAAAAAAACAAATCATTGAATACAAAGCTCACAGACTATTTTTTAAACTTGATTCAGTGATCCAATAAGAACTGCAGAGTGGACCGACCTTGCCTGACCACTGCCTTGTCCAGTGGCTTGGAGGCCATGATGCTGTTGAGCTGCTGCAGCATGTCTTTCAGGTGGTTTTCTGATGGTTGGCATTGTGCTCTACACAGAGAAAACATGTCACAATGGCTTCTAATTTCCACAGTACGTTATAAATGAAGAGCAAAACCCTAATTCTAGATTTTCGACTTACTCTGGCACAGGCTCATCTTTTAGCTCCATTTTCTCAGTCCCATCTGCAAACAGTAAAAAGGAAAACCCATTAATTTCCTACAGCCAGAGAAATCTAGATATAAAAATTCATTTTGGATCGATGGCCTGCCAGGGGCCAAGCAGGGGAAGACTAGTTACCCTTGTTATTCAAAGCAGTGAGGGGACGGCGCTGGCTGAGCTCTGCAGCGGTGGAAGGTGCGATAGAGAAGCGCGGGGCCACTGTGAGGCACGTGGTTGGCAGGCGCATTGGGACGTAGCCTGACGTGAAGAACTCGTCCTGTTCCAGCTGAGAGATAGTTGGCCTCTGAGCAGGATCGGCGTGCAACATCCTCTTGATCAGAGACGCTGCAGCTGGGTTGATATGCTGTAAACAAATCATTTTGTTTACACACATGGTCAAAAACTGCAATTCATCATTCTCTGTATATGGAGACTACTCAATGCACAGTTCAATGATCTTACCCAGGGGATGACGTAGTGGTTTTTCTTAATGCGGCTGTATGTTTCCTTCAGACAGGAGGTCTCAAACGGGGGCTTACCCACCAGTAAAGTGTACCTGACAGAGCAGTTATACATTATTGCATTGGATCAGGAGCTGTTGCCACATGTAGCCGTGTTCCCATACTTACAGTATGCAGCCGAGTGACCAGACATCCACTTCGTAACTGTGGCCTTTCTTACAGAGAACCTCAGGGGCGATGTAGTTAGGCGTTCCACACAGCGTCTTCTTCCGTTCACCATCAAACTCTATTTTAGTGGCCAAACCAAAGTCCCCTGGAAAATAAAGATGGTGTTTTTGTCACAATATAAAATAACACGCTTATGGACAGCTGTGTGCTACAAGTCCCTGTATTGGCATTTATTCCTCAAAACAAGAGTGCAACAATGTGAAGCACCTAAAATACAGACCTCCAGAAAAAAAACCCATAGAAAATAAATCTATGAATGCTGCACAAAAAAATCTGACAGCTGGTATTATAGTGGACAATACATTTTTTTTGACAGATTTTGAATCATTTTAAATCTTAAGAGGTTAACTGTCCTGGTTTGAGGAAAAGCTTGACTCCATTGAGCCAGATGTTGCTTTGGGCAGTCGAACTAACAGAATAAAAAAAAAGAAATACAAAGACAATCCTTTAAATCCATATAGCTGTCTGACAGTGTACTGTGACGCTCTGCAGGTGCATACATGGTGGAAAATAAAGTTTGGCCTTATAGCTAGTGTGTTAGACTACTGATTTATTCCTGCAATGGTATTGGGGGAAACATCTAGACTTAAAATGGTTACAGACTAATGTTTTTTTATTAAATGAATAAGCTGCCTTTTTTTAGTTAAACATACATGACATCCATGTAGTTCTGATATATGTACTAAATATTTTGCTGTATTCAGAAAAAAGAAATATCTGAAGCAGTAGATACATTATAAAGCCAACTCATTTGACTTCAGAGCTATGCACCAGTGAAAGTTTTAAGTGTATTCCGTGTATTGATTAAATAACAGTAAATGACAAGTTACGGGATTGAATAATTCACCATATATTGTTCTACATATTAATAACTTTATTTAAAGGGTCACCTGGATATCAGACTAAACCAAAGAAACTTTCTGATGTCTGCAAGCTTTCAGCAAATATACCCATAACCCTACAGCAGCATAGAGGCATCGTTCCCACAGTCACACATCATCTCTGTGGATATTCTGTAATAATATTTTAACTTTATTGATGTCATATTGGAGATATTTACCACTTCATTTAACCCATCCCCCTTGGGGAGCAGTGGGCTGCCATCGTGCGGCGCCCAGGGAGCAATCGGGGTTTAAGGGTCCTGCTCAGGGGCCGAGAGTGGCAGTGAGGCTCAAACTAACCTAACCACTAGGAGCTGCTCCCTCAATCAATCAGTCCACTGAAAACACACACCTACATCTACAAATAGTTGGGAATTTGCTTCAATGTGTGTGGAGTAGCTCTGAAAAGCGCAATAAACATTCCATACCTATCTTGACCTCCATGTCATCATTGAGGAAGATGTTTCCCAGCTTCAGGTCTCTGTGGATGACTCTGTTGTTGTGCAGGTAGTGGACTCCCTTCAGCAGCTGGGTCATGTAATACCGGGCCTCTGGTTCTGTCACAGCCTTCCTGCGTTTGTGCAGCTCCAACAAAGACTGAAAAAGCAGGACTTTTATGAGCACAAACTATTCTACTGGATTCTTTCTGTGAAAATAAACATGTTTTAGGATAATCTAAAATTATTTTCAAACTTAATTGTATTTCTTTACAGTTTTTAAGAGGTATAAGATCAGTTTATTTTAACTCTTACCCTTCTTCTGCAGATTTCCAGCACCACAAATACAAAGTCGTCGTCCTCGAAGAAGCCCTGGAAGCCCACGATGTTCGGATGGTTGAGGCTCTTGTGAATGGCGATCTCAGACGTCATCTTCTCCCTCTGGTGCTGCTTCAAAATCAGAGCTTTGGGCACCACTTTCCCAGCGAACACCTGCTTTGTCTTCATGTCGGTAATTTCGTAGCATTTGGCGAAGCCCCCCTTCCCGAGAAATCTTCCTCTCGTGTATTTCTTCGAAGTGCGGGGGTCAACCAGGATATCTGGGATCTCTTTCAGAGGCGCCGACTTCGGATCGGAATGCGCAGATGATGGCGCTGGCTTCGCTACACCAGCACTCATTTTGGATTGAGGCTTTTCGGTGATTTTAAAGGAATACTAAACGACCGAAGCAGTTCGCTAATCGATTAAAGTGAACCCAAACTCGACGTTTAGCCTGGGATGCTAGCTTCCTTCCACTTGCATTTGTATTTAAATCAAAACTAACACCCCTCTTTGCTCACGCACTCATTAATACTACACTAAACCTTTAAAAAAGAAGCATAAAAAGGCTGAATATTTAAAAAAAAACATCAACTAGTTGGGCAGACGTGTCCTACGGTACTTACTCGTTCAGCCTGCCCTGCCTTATGACAACAGTTTTCGGTACAAATTTAAAACGCTGCCCTTGTCGTTATCGCGTCTTCTGATTGGCCGAGTCGATTTGAATTCTATGGGTTTGCACCAATGCATCATGGGATAGCGATGCAAAAATAGCCTATCGCTGAACGAGAAAGCCACCCCGGCGTTGTGATTGGATGATCGAAAACCGATGGTTGCTCATTTCTTCCTGAAGAAAGGGATTATGGGAATTGAAGTGCAAAGTAGAATTAAGCACCGTGTAGCCGAAATCATAGTTTAAATCTCAAAGTGTTTTTAATGATTTATTAAACATTATTCGAGTGATTGTATTTTGAATAGGCCGCCTACTATTTGCAACAAAAAAAGACTATTAAATCCATTTTATAGAAAATCGAAATTGGAAAACGAAAGTATAAGTTTGAAGAAATGTTTGAACAGTAAATGTCGCTGTGGTGTGGAGTTTTAAAAAGCTGTTTGTGGAGGACATTAGTTTGAACACATACTCTCATTTCAACCTTTTTTAGGTCCACACTGTATTTTAGGAATATTTCAGAAATTATGAAGCCATGTTGCTGAGATTCTAATCCAGATGCCCCAAAGATAGGAGATAGTGTTAAACTCTCATTTCAAAATCTGATCTATAATAACTCTTATCTTTAGATCAAATACAAGCATTATTAGACTAAAATTTATTGAAATTATACAAGGAACATAAACTGACACTGATCAACTTAAGTAGCATACCTAGGTACAAAATAGTTTATTTACAAATACATTAAAAAACAAAATTGTAACATGAGCAATGTGTAAATATAGGTAGCTAGTGTTAACAGAGTAAACCATTACCATAATGTGCATAAAAATATTAAAATGGAAATATTACATAGTGGTTTATTTCTCTTGGTTTTGCACATATTTCAATACATGTCGTCTTCATACAAGGTTACTTTATCTAGGAGAGGAAAATGGGATTTGAGACTGATAACAAAGAGATGCCTCAGCTGCAAGTAAGAAGAAAAAACAATAATACTTTTACATGGTTGTGCTCATGATAAACTACTAAGAATAACTATTTATGTTTATATTCAGATACGTCACACATATGTTCACAGACAGAAACTGTAAAGTACACTCAGTGAGGTTTAACTAATATAATGTCAGCCAATAGACCTGCAAATTGATGAATTTGATATATATATATGTTTTATTGTAAGTTTAGGGTTACTGAGATAAGTCTATTTTGTGTGTGTCAGCCAGTTTAATATAGATAAGAGCTCTTACCCTGTATATGCTCTCATTTTTTGCTTCAGTAGCCTTTTATGTGGTTAAATAAATTTTGATCTCCTTATTGGCCTAAATGCATTATTTTGTGCTATTAAAGAAACACTAGAATCTTTCAGGTTCAAAGTAGGGTTCAAAGAACAACTTCAACGTTTTTGAAAACAAGAACCGCATGCATGTTTCCATTTCAAACCCATTTCGAAATGAACAACTTACCAACTATAAAATTGTGTTAACTTTTCACATTTGTTATGGGTTCAAGCACATATAGGAGTAAACGGGGATGAGCTGGCAAATTTCTATGCTAAAAAAGCAGCACAAAGGGAACATTATGATTAAAACCCTTTTTTTTTTCCTGGGGTGAGTCTTGTTTCCTGTTTGTTTAATTCCTTATCCATTGGTGGCAGTAATGCACTTTAACTAGTTAGGAAAAACTATAACCCCTAAAACGCCCTAAAACACTACAAGAAGAAGAAGTTAACTTTTCACTTATATCTAAATTTACATTTTTTTATTAGTTTATATTTTCATTTTAAATGCATTTCATGAAGAGGGTTACTCTTTTAGCTGTGATCTGTATGCTGTGTAAAATATTTAAACTATCTCCTTTAATCATTAAAAAAGTTGCAGTAAAAGCAAACACATTTCTATTCTATACCTGTCTACATGTCAGCCATCTGATGTTTTTGTTTCACTTTTATTTTCTATTAAATTAATCCATTAATATTACTAATCTGTTTCACAAAGGATGTCCTGGCAAAAGCAGTATGACATAACTGCATTAACAGTATTATACAATTTTTTACAATAACAACAAGGCAAAAAACAATAAAAACATAAAAATAAAACAACTGACAGGTCTAAGTCATTTAACAGTTTGATAGATAGTAGTATAGCCCCAATGGAACAGTTTGAGGTCTTTGGTTTGACCCCCAGTCTAGGGTTAGTCTGCAGTTTTCACGTTCTCCATGTGCATGTAAGAGTTCTCACTGGGTACTCTGGCTTCCTGCCACAGTCCAAAAACATGAGTCTATAAGGTGTCTCTAGATTGTCCTAAGGTGTGTGTGCACCATCTTTGTGTTGCCATGTGATGAATTGTTGCCCTGTCCAAGGTGTACCCTGCTTTTTGCCTATAGACTGCTAGTGAAAGGCGTCAGCCCCTAGTAAGCCTGACAAAAAAGCGGTAGAAGTTAAATGACTAAGTTACGTGAGTTGAAAAGAAATCATTAAAAAAAGACAATACATTCAAAGAGTTAAACCTACACATTTAAAAAGAATAAAACTTCTATACAGGATCACAATGACAGCCATTTATCACACGTATTCTGTAAATGCTTATTGTTTAATATTATTTCCTATGACCTTCCTTTCCAAATTTTAAGATTTATTTAATTTTATTGCATACCAAATCATACCATTTTAACACACACCCATTAAATAAACTTTAAATGATGCATATTTATTAGTTTAACATAGCTTATTTCTTTAAAAGTTTCATGTATTTTGAAAAAAAAAAAGAATAAAGTATACTTATTTAAAATGACACTAATTAGTGTATTTACTTCAAATACATACACAAAGTTTATTGTTTGAACTGCAATATAATCAAGTTTCCTTTATGAACTTCAAACAGTGGATTTTATTCATTTAAAATAAATGCACTCATTATTATAAGTTTTGAGTAAACATATTTTATAATATAAACATTACAATTATGCATTTCAAATAAATAAGCTTAATTTTTTGCATACTAATGAATGTGTTATATGTGTTAAAATAATCTAAAAAGAAAAAGTAAAGGGAAATTTTAATGTAGTAAAATTATATAAATCTTAAAATTTGTGTGAAACATTTCTATGAGTGTAATGTTCATATTACGACTTTAGATGGCAGCACTGAGCACTCAAAGAGTGAGAGTTGAAGCTTTGATTCAATAAAATTAGAGGAGTAAAAGCTGCATCTTTCAGTATTTATTTTATTTACACACTTCAGTGAGACTAGGTAGTGATAAAGTATAAATTAAACACTGATGAATACAATGATGTGTATTTAGAGTCAATTATATTGTTCAATTTCACACTTAACTGTCAGAAGTTTTCAAGGCCTGCAAAGGTCCAATTTAGAATAATTTTAATCCTGAAATATGAACTAATATGCGTATCCATCAGCTTAAGGCAGTTATCTATTTATGGTAACTGTATCACAGCATTCCAGGTTATATGGTTTTTGTTTGTCAGATAAAAAGATGGTAGAAATAATTGACATTTAAGTGCTCGGTTTGTTTGATTCTCTTTATTTGATTAACCTTTGCTAATATTTGTATAACTGATTCTGTTGGGTCAAATTTAACTTGAGTATTGTTCTGAATGATGCCATGTAGACTGAGTCATGCACTCTACTTCAGCCTGATATTAGAATGGAGCAAACTTACATGCTTCTGTTGTGATGGATCAGTTTTTTGTGTGTCTGTGTATTTTTCTTGCTTTGGTTGCTTTTGTGGTCACAGCTTTTGACTTGCTGCTGCAGGATTTGTTTAGCTTATTAGTCATTGTGTTCATCTCTGTCTATTCATTCTCTATAAGCGTGTCTTCTTGCCATTTCCATGGCAACATGCTGTGATCCAGCAGAAAATGATGAAGAGAGTCAGTTTGTCTGGGCATTGGGACATGTTAAGTTTAGCTCTTTTTCTTCTCTTTCTCTCCACAGAGGCTGAGAGATGAGTTTCCGCTGCAGAGGCACACGGTAAGTGGAGTAGGTTACCTCTTTCTTTCCTTCGCCTGCCCACAGATCTGCTCAGTGAAATCTTCTGGGAGCATATAATGTAGGCCTTTTCATTCTCCTCCCACACAGTGTGTTAACAAAACCATGAAAAATGATTTTATTCTTAAGAGCAAAATTCTTACCAGAGAAACTGCTGTGAAGGATCTTTAAATGCTCTGTGTGCTGCATCAAATGTGTCCAGTTTTGTATGAAGGAAACCTATGAACTGTTTTGAGAAACATGTGCTTCCCTGTGTCTCTAGGTCTCCTAAGTGTGTTTGTGGCCCTATTTAGAATTTTATTAAGGTGTCATGTTCCTGTTAAGACAATCAGCACTACTAAGAGTGTTTCAATACAGAACTGGATTAGGCCAATTTTATCTGGCCTAACTGCAAATAAATATAATTACTTGGGGACATGCTAAATTTAAACATGAAGTAAATGTTAAACTTGTAGTAACAAGGTCTGTTAAAACAAAAGAAAAATTTAACAAAATAGTTTGATTTATTTGTCCTTAAGCATTTAATACGAATGATAATAAAGGTGGAAATAAGCATTTCTTGCTATAACTTGATACCATGTATTTTTTTGTTAAGGTCAGTAGGAATATGTTCACTGTGTCTGTAGAATAGAAACAGCTATCATCGTCATCCATCTATTTTCTCCCGCTCAGTCCTTGTCAGGGTCACAGTGGGGCCGGTGCCTCTCTCCGGCAGTCTATGGGCTAGAGGAGGGGTACATCCTGGACAGGGAGCCAGTCTGTCGCAGGGCAACACAGAGACACACAACCATGCACATACAAACTCACACCTAAGGACAATTTAGAGATGCCAATTAATCTAACAGAAATGTTTTTGGACTGTGGGAGGAAGCGGGAGTACCCGGATAGAACCCAAACAGGCAGAGGGACAACCCAAAAAGACCCCAGGCCAGGAATGAACCCAGAACCTTCTTTCGGCAAGGCAACAGTGCCACCCTCTGCATCATTGGGCATTTTGCCATCATTGTCAGCATAATATAAAACTTTTAAGGTTGATGCTCTCTGTGTTAAATTCAAAAACTTGCCCGGAGGCCTCCCAATAGTTTGGCTTTTAAAGCAGCCACTTACTTCAGTTGCCTCTCAGCTCTGCAAATATATGCATCAACTGCAGAACAAAAGCAAAAGAACTTGTGTAAATACTGCTCAAATACTGCTGAAGCTGGTAAGAGAATATCATTATCTATAAGCAAGGCCTGTTCCATAAGTATGCCTTCAAAATGACTCAATGAAGCCATTACTGCAAAATAAACAAAATGGGTCAGATTACATTCTGCAAATACACTCAGCGACATAGAAATTCTGTGTTTGGCCATAATAGCTGAAGGAGAGTTGGATTTTTTGTGGGTGTTTTGCAGCCAGGACCGGTGCACCGTATGGGGTTGGGATTTTGAAGAAAATTACTTCCACAAACCAGGGACAAATTAGTCCTCTTAAAGGACATTGGTCCAAAGCATTCTACCAAATTAGAGTGGCTTAGGGAAACATGCCTAATAATCAAATCCATGATCACTATCCTCGGGAAAATCGGTGGGCAGGTGAGCAAAGGTGTAGGAGCAAGACATCCTAAAGACTTTATATCAATTTAGTGTGATGAGCTTTTGGAAGGATTCCCACAAAACCTTAGCCGTACGTTTTAAGAGGATTAGCACAAATACTAGTGAAATCCATGTGTACTTAATGAAAAAGTAAAAATAAGAAGAACCTCATTCTCATTTTTCTTGGATTCATCAAGACCTGATTCCAAATTCCCAATAAAAGTAAAAGCGTGTTTCATTTAATTTCACAAAGTTAAAAAAAAAAAAGTGTTTTTTTTTAAGACTGAGATTCACCCGTATTATTATAAACTTTTTCTTGTTTGTAGCTTTCATTTGAAACATAGACAACTGCATACAAATAATCCATGACTTGTTTGTTTGTGTGAGTTTGACTTTATTGAAGTTCAATATAATGGAAAAAAGCACGAATGAGCAAGAAGTAAATGTTCTAATGAAGGCACAGCAACAATAACAGCCAGGGATGATCCTTCTACATCTCTACACACCAGCAGCACCCTGTTTAGGTCCATTGAACAAGAAAATGTGCTTTTGATTCATTTTAAACTGACACTTTATTATTGCAATAATCATTACTCAGTGTAGTTTCACAGTTGAAGATAATGTATTTATGTGCATTGATGTATAATCCTAATGTGTGCTTGGAAACACCTTCCTCCACCAGCTGTGCAATTAATAGAATTATATCAAGAATGAACCCTCATCGATGGGTAGTATTAGAATCTCCCCTCAGTTATCTTTGCCTTTCTTGTCTTGAAAATTTGACCATTTGTAATGGTATCTGACCCCAGGGATCTGTGAAGAATTTAACATCAAAGAAAAAAAATCTTTATCTTTTCAAGCTGTAGAAAAAACTCAAGTGTGCATAGCCCTACCTACATCTAAAAATCGAGCACATGGATAAATCCTACATTCATCATCCGAATTCTCTTCCAGCATTTCCATAGTTATCATGTTTTAAAGCATTCGACAACAGAGAAAGCCTTATTTACAGCTGACGATGGCAAATCATTGATGTTACTTCTTCTGATTTCGCATATGGATGTGTTTTGACAGACAGCAAAGAAAAAAAAAGGGAAACCGGAGGTCTTATAGCAGCAAAAAGCTTGATACTGAAGTTTTAGAGTTACAACGTTCTACATGTTTGTTCTACCAGGAGTCACTACAGATAGATAGGTACAGCAAGTGTAAGTTTGATAGGGTGTGAAAAACATGATGTGTGGAGTCAAATTCAGAACACACTGCTGGACAGCTCCAGTAGAAACCCAGGAAGTATAGTCAATTTCTAGAAAAGAAAAACCCAGCACTGTCTTGAGGCAATGACATTCAGATTTGACAACACAGCCATCCAAACAAGTTTACAACAGCACCGACGGAAATATGAAAAACAATCTGCAGATACTACGTGTCAAGAGTTTGAAGCATTGTGCAGATGAAGAAAAAAAAAAAGTAATTTCTCAGTATTCCCAGAGGGTGGCACTATCCACAGAGTCTGCGCTGGCCTTCAGCCCTCCGGCATGGTCGCCTTTAAGGTACTTCCCACCCAGAGCTCGAATTGCCGTCTTGTTGAGGTCGCAGAACTCCAGCAGGAACTGAACTGGTGTGGGGCTGCTGCACACCACCGCTGAGTCGTCTCCAACACACCAGTACTTCCCCTGGGAGTCTGGACAGACAATACTGTTAGTAAACCCCAAACACGCACACAAGTGATGCAAACTAACACACATCCTAACAGGGAAGTAAGTTTACATTGAATCAAGAAACTAATAAATTCCTTATTATAAAGAAAAACAAAACAATGAAAGAGGGGAGTGTTGGCCTACTGTAGTGGTTAGAGCAGTACTGAGAAAGTACAGCTCTGAGAAAGTTGCAAGTACCTGGTTTGATCTCCACAGCTTGCACTTTGGGTCCTTAACCCAACATTGCTCCCCAGGCCCCGAACAATGGCAGCCCACTGCTCCCAAAGGGAAGGGTTACATGCAGAGGTACATTTCTCCAATGTGAGATCATTCAAATTCGATAATTTCTATTTTATATTATTTCAATAGTCCGAAGTGGTAGAGGTCAAAATGATGTAGGTCATCAGTTCCTTAACATTTTAGCCAGTAATTTTGAAGCCTGTACTTTTGAAAAATGACTTTAGTATGTTTAATTATTCATTAGGACACGGCATTGCTCAATTAGTAAGTAAGTTTCATGATTGAATGTTGTATTTAATCATCTCATAATGTGATAAATAAATTGTAAAACTTATTATTTCATGGGGGACTGCTCAGTGGTGGGTGGCCCTGCAGCCTTGCAGCAAGAAGGTTCCGGGTTCAATTCCTGGCCTGGGGTCTTTCTGCATGGAGTTTGCATTCGAGGGTTCTCTCCGGGTACTCCGGCTTCCTCCCACAGTTCAAAAACATGACTGTTAGGTTAATTGGCTTCTCTTCCTTAGGTGTGAGTGTGTGCGTGAATGGTTGTTTGTCTCTGTGTTGCCCTGCCATAGACTGGCGACCAGGGTATACCTCTCGCTCATTGACAGCTGGAGATAGGCACCAGCACCCCTCGCGACCCCACTTGGGATTAAGCGTCTTCGATGGATGGATTATTTCATGGGATATGTTTAGATATAATTTGATGTTGTTCCTTTTGGTCTTCTATACTCCTCAGGGATAACATTACAGTGATTTTGAAAAACCTCTCCGCATTTGGTATCATGTAACCCCCTTTTCCAGAAACCCTGATGTAGAGTATTGTTATTCTGTTTCATTACAGAATAAATTAATAACCCCCTCCTAATAATGTAGCGTTGGTTTTTAGCTTGTTACTGAGAGCAAAATTAACACATTTACAAAATTTTGGGCGACAGTGGCGTCGGGTGCAGGAGTTGCCCTGCAATCTGAGGGTTGTCAGTTCAAGCCCCGGCTCAGGCGTTCAGTGTCATTGTTTCCTTGGGCAAGACACTTCAGCTGCATTGCCTACTGATGGTGGTCAGAGGGCACTATGGCGCCAGTGTATGGCAGCCTTGCTTCTGTCAGTGAGCCCCAGGGCAGCTGTGGTTATATACTCTATATAAACTATTGGAAACAGACTTTCCCTGAAAGAGTAATCCCAAGGGATTTGAGTTGAGTCTAAGTCTATTGCAGGCAAAGTAAATGAAAAGAAAATCTCAATCAGTCAGATCCACAAACCAAGATTCTCGCATCCCTGGGACTGTTTGGATAAACAATAAAAGTGTTTGTTGTATGTTCTTTTGCATCAAAAAAGAACTGTAAAAAATTTCTGATATTTAAAACTTGTTAATATAATTTGATGTTGCTTCTTTTCACTTACCTTTAATAGAATATGCACCGTTATGAAACTCCAGCTGGAAAACATCATATGATGCCCGGTTGGAGTCGAGGGTTGGAAGTCCAGCCTTGCGAGCTCCAATAAAACCGTGCTCTCCACGCAGAACGATGATTGGACGGTTAATCAGCTTCATTAGAAACAGCTCCGCCTCTCCTAAAATGAACATTTATAGGAAGCTGAAAGGACTAGTATCTATATTCACCTTAATAAAGGCTTGATTTTTTTAGTTATTAAATTTACAGCAGGATGCTTTTTTATTGTTTGATAGATTATAGGTTTCCTTTCAATTGTACATGGAAAAAAGTAAATAATGCTTCTTTGTTATATGAGAGCAACCTTGAAGTTCTCAAATGTTTGGTTTTTGTACTGACACTTCTCCCACTTTTTCACCCTTAAGTAGCCTGGAGACATTTTCAGGTTAAAAATGTTCACAAGTTTTTCCAGCATCCCTGCATGGCATAATTATATCAAGACAACTCAAAGGTTCAAATATCCACACAACTAAAACAGTTACACAGAATTTAATTTCACAAATAGCATTAATTACCATATTAAGAGAAAAATCTTACAAAAAAAAATAGAAAATTTGTAAAAAATGTATAGAAAGAGATACTGATACATGTGATAGTGACCTGCTGAAAGAGCATACAATATTTCACAAGCCATTTGCAAAAATTCAGGTTTTTGTGAGACTAAATTGGGATTTTTTTTTTCCTTAAGGCCTAAGGTGTAAGAGTCTTGGTGCTGATTCTGGCTTGATTGCTAACTCCATTCACCTGTCCAATCCTGCCTGGTTACTCATTCCCTGCTCATCTGATACACCTGCTCCTGCCTCTATTTAAGTTGCTTGCATCCAGTTATCAGGCCTGATCATCTTGTTCTCATTCCCAGGGGGCCAGTGGAGAGATGGTTTTTAGGATACCATAGTGTTTCTGATTCCTCTATCCTGACCTGTTCTGCCTCTCATCCACTGCGCCTGCCTGTTCCCGTCTGAACGATTTGCCCGAACTGTCTGTGGGCTCCTGGACCCCTGAACCAGCCAGTTCCTGTCACTAACCTGTGTTTCTCTCCAACAGAATTTCCAGTGATAGTCATCCCGCTGTTTTATTAATAAACGCCTATTTGAAGTTATCCCGCTGTCTGTTGTCTGAATTTTGGGTCCTGTGTCCTGTGTACATCTGATCAATTTGTTGACTAGAAATTGTCTAACAGTGCTGCTTGCAACAGATTTCTCCCTTAGAAATGGTCAGAAGTACAGATAAAGGGTTTATTACTCCAAACTAACTAGTTCTATGCATGTAACTGTCAAATTAAGTTACAAATTATTATTAAATCACCAGGAATATAAATCAGAATTCTGACTCAAAAATAGTAATCTCACCAGAAAGTCTTAAAAATCAATTAACATCAATTTGCATAAGTAAATTAAATTCTAACTGAAAATATGAAACCTAATTCAAACTTTTTAATGTGGGCATCTTTAAAATCCATTTTCCAGTCATGGTATTTTACAGCTGTTAACAGTCAATCAGGGACTAGGGTTGCTGAAAGCAGAAAATGCTGAGCAACACATTGTTTTCAGGTTAAATTCCAAATTGTGATTAGCTGGGTCACTGAGTCCAACAATTAGGGTATATTCGGTTGTCCGTTCCACAGATAAAACTGGACTTAGTTAGGCATGACGTTATTCCCATGACGTGACTGCCTCTGTGGTAAATGAACGACTGTAAATTACAGTTGGTTTTTTTTTAGTCCGATATCCGTGCTTCCCAAGACAAAATAAACCTAAAACTACAACATTTCTACCATCTGCATCTTTGCCTTAATATTTGATAAATGTGAGAAAACAATACTGACCTGTATTGTCAACTGCAGCAGCCAGCTGCCCATTCTTCTTGGCAGTCACATACTTCCCATTGGCAGCACGAATGCAAACGCGACCATCACGCCACTCCAGTTCAAAGTAACTGTTGACAGACCTGAAAAAAAATACAAACATGGATCTTATATTCTGCATTTTTCTAAGGAGACATCCAGGATTACTCAGCAGGTAGATTTGTACTTAGTGGAGGCCGTGCACTGCAGTCCTCCACTTGCCGTCAGTGTCCAGTATTTCCCAGCAGCAGTTCTAAAGGCACATTTTCTGTCTTCACGGTTCATCTCCAACTGGAACACCTCTTGGTCCCCTTCCTCATTTTGATTGGCTGACAGGTCCATGCCTGAAAAATTAAGTCATTTGTTGTCACCTTTCATTCATTGCTTGAAGATTTAAGCCCTCCCAAAAGAGATCTTTTAGCATTCATTGAACCCAATATAACACCTAAGTTTTAGTTAAATGTAAGACCAGCGTTATGATAAACAAAGTTTGGTGTACATAAATAACATCAAGGCAGCAAACATTTTGGGTAAAAAAAACATAATAAAATGCTTTAGTGGTCTAAAGGATAGACAGTTCATTTCAAATACAGAAATGCATTGTTTAGAATGACTACACTGAGAAGCAAATAAATCTCTTGGTATCTGCATTCACTGAAGCATAAATCCAGATTGGAGGATCTGAAGCTAAATCTAGCAGCTTTTATGTGAGCTAATAAGTCATCAACCTTTAATTTCCATCACATTAGCTGATGACTGATTATTGAGACAGGAAGTGGAGGTTTGAGGTGGTGCTCCACATACTGAGAATTTAACTGGAAAAGAATATCCCACTCAGAGTAACTGACTAATCATAAAAGTGGTTGTTTTTATTTGCTGTAAGGGAAAAAAAAAATCATAATTAACAAAAATAAAGACTTCAGTGTCTGTGTAAAAAAATCTGTAATGTTTCTCAATGAATCCATTCCAGCATTTCTGGTCCTTATGACCTGTTTTAATAAAAAACCCCGAAAAGAACTACATGCAGATATCCCATCACCTATTCACGATTTAGGATTTTGTAAAACTTGATAAAAGAACACCTTGCTTTTTAGCTCATGTTCCTGCCTCCATTCCACCAACAGCGTTAAGGCAGATTTATACTCAGAAACCAGGTTGTCATCGGAAAGACATCTCTACGGCTGGTTATACTCCCTGCATCAGTGTGTCGCAGTGTGCTTGTCTCAGATATTTTTGATTTATGCCTAATTTTGCTATGTGCTGATGAAGGTTCTCAGTCATCCAGGTCAAAGTCATTCCGTAAAAGTGGATATTTTTTGAATTTGTACGGAACTAATTTTGCTATGTTATTCCACAGCACAACACAAGAGGGACAATCAGCCTGTAGCTGTGAGTCTAGATACGGCCGAAGTGGTGAGGAAATGGGGGCAAGTTTATGTGACAATGGAGGGACATGAGGGCGAAAAAGAGCAGAGATCCAGGTGTAAAAAGGGTCCAAATGTTCTCACGCTCCTCGCTCTTCTAGCTGGTCCATCTCACAAGTCGTTTTCCACAATGGCGGTCATACAAACCAAACAAGCCAGTAAGGTACCAAACAGGAAATATGCATGAGTGGAGCTCATGTAGATGTAGATTTAGATTTGACCAGTCAGAGACCTCCTGTCTGCGGTACTGTCTGTGGTCACCTACAATTTTGGAGAGGTGCACCAGTGTGTCTGCAGCAGGGGGTGGGGGCAGATTTGCGTTCACTGCAACACATGCAGAAGACCTGGTTTCTGAGTATAAACCAACCTTCAATCTGCCTGCTTACGCAGATCATCATCTTTCAGCACCTACATCTAGAATCTTCATGGGTCTGAGTGCTAAAGATTTACTAATTTCTTTTTGTGAAAAAAAAAATTACTAGTGTACTAAAGTACTAATTACTGAATTTTCCTTGTGAATCTCCCTAGATTGAAATTATAAATGAAATGAACTAAACTTTCAAAGATATAAACAAAAATCTAGGTCAAAATCAATGGAGGGAAATCACATTCAGTTATGATAGCAAGGGATAGAAAAGGAATTGATTGAAGTATCTGATCAAGCAATTATACAAGTTCTTCAAAGAAAATCCAAATGATAATCGAGAATTATAGGGATTAAAGCGACATGCCCAAAAAAGATCAGGAAATTCTGTATGTGCTTTTCATTTTGGTGGGCCTCTCTAAGATTGTTAGTGGTCTCCCTTCTGGCCATTACATGTGATAGTTTCAAGAGATACCCCTGCTATGAAGTCACTGCATAGCTGGGCTTATGAACCACAGCAAGCTGTGTGAAAGAAAGTATAGAATAGCTCTTTTTCATTTTCCCTGCACCATGTGTTTTTCATTATGCTCTCTCTCCTTCAGTCCTTTTGGCCCATCTTTGCACAGCTTAACATTTTTCCTGTAGTAATTCTACCCCTGGATTGTGTTTGCTGGGACAAGGTCACCCGAGGTACACATGATCTGTATCATTTATGATCTTAGAATACACTTAGAGAAGAAGGGAAATTAGAGCAGGTATTTTTAGAGAAGAAATGAAATGAGGAAGAGAATGGAGGCTACAAAGAACACCTCATGCTAACTTTTTTTCCAGTACTACCTGATTCCAGATGGTATCTGCATCATAGCATCCATCATTTACAGTACAATTCAGCCTGACTGGGACTAAAAAGCAATGATTTCAGGAGGGATTTATTTGGTGGAATAGAGGCTGGAACATGAGCTGAAAAGCAAAGGTGTTCTCTTATCAAGAGTCCTAAACTATGAATGGATGATGGGAAAGTGTGGAGAAACAGCTCATAATGAATAAGCTGGTGGCAGCTAAGAGCCATCCAGTTAGATTGTTGGCCAGGGTTTCTTAAATGGATGTTTTTCACATTCTCTCTTTCATTTTTTTTTAATTAAACTACTATACTTTTGTTTTACTTGTTATAAATGTAGGTGTTATCAAGAGTTATTCTTCAGAGGAAGGATAAAGCATTCTTAAATAATTCAATTACATCAACAACTCACTGAAGTTTGCCTTTTCCTTTCTTTAATATATGATGAAAAAATATGCATATAAGGGATAACCAAAATATTGATTTCTTCATTTTGATGTAAGGATATTTGCAAAAGCTGTTTAAAATGTTTCTAAAAAAAAAAAAAAAGTGCAATTCAAACTTAGATGCTTTAGTCTGTGAAATTTTTGCTCAGATAACCAAGATGCGTCCTTTTGAAAGAAATGATGCCATTCCCAGTACTCTAATGTAACCCTACCCTGTGTCAAATGTGCATTTTCTCCACACACACCCCGCATTTCTTAGCTTTAGCATGTGCCTGGCATACTTATGTATTGTGTGGTTATAAAGTGATTGTGAATTAATTTAGAAACTTCAAAATGATGCAGTGTTCAGGAAATTCTCACTCAGGGCAGGAAGTTGGAATAAAATATTCCATCCTGTTAATAATGTTCTAAAAGGAGTACTCAGAATGAGATAAAATCCGATTGTGATAGTTCAGAGCATGGGTAGCTCTAGATAGAGGGCCAAGGGGGGGCATTGACCCTTTAGAACCCTCTTCTGCCCCATCTACTAAAGACATAACACATCATTCTTAACTGATTGGTCCCTTGGATAAATGTATTTTCTTATTTACAGGTTTACCTTACCTATGATTTAAATATGAAGCTGTCCCTCCTTTGTCTTCAGATGTACTGAGGTAGGATCATAATCTATCTGCTAGATCAGGGTCTAGTGAGTGGCTTTTTGACTCACTTTATACATCTACTGGTTGACAAACCCTCTTTTGTGTTTTATTCTTTTGCTTTGTGTCTCCGTGGAAAAAAAACACTGGCCCCAGTATGCCACTAGTTCAGAGCTTTACAAATATTGGAGATCAGAAATTGGCCTCAAAATTTTGATTGGTGCATCTTTATGTAATTAATTTTAAAAATCCTTCCGTTGAAGTATCCATGCGTAAAATGAATGGGGGTGCGCATTGCCTGTGCGTGTGGTCAGTAATTATCAGTGGTGAGATGGGGTGGGCAGTGGTGCCACTGCTGCTTGGGTGGGACCAACATGAACACATTTCTTGGCAGAGCCTCACCTTGCCTAGTAGACACATTCCTCTCGTTGCCCGCAGTCAGCACCACCTGAGCGTGGCTGCGCTCCAGGCCAAACAGTTCATCCTTCCCCACCCTGGCGCTCCTCCCAGACTTCATCGTCCCGGTGGGACCCACCGGTGCCAGGTAGCGGCCGTTGCAGTCACGGAATGCCACTTTCCCCGAGAGGAACTCCAGCATGTAGCCGGTGTCCTTGTCGGTTTTTGCCGACAGGCTGCCATCGTTGCGCAGGAAGCGGTTGTCAGATGTCTCCAGGTGGTAGCGCTGGTCACGATAGACCAGCGTCACCAGGGAGTCGACGCCCCAGGGAACGTCCCGGTCTATGGAGACCTCCTGGGCGCTCAGGTGCGCGAAGCGTTTCCGAGCAAAGCTGTAGAGGTTGACCTGCGGGTGAACGGCCAGGTGGACGCTCCATCTCTCCGCCGGAGAGGCTGTCTGCGCGAAGCATGTGATCCGGTCCTCGCTGCCGCCGAGGAAGCGGCCGTAGGGCTCAGACTGCAGCGACCACCGCCCGTCTTCATGCACCGTGATGACGAAGCGGCAGTCCCGGCTGCGCGTCTCGCTGTCCGCGGTAACGTTGCCGTCTTTGTCCGCAGCTAGATAGCGGCCCAGGTGGGACATGAGGAACACGGCGTTGCCGTCCTCCCCGGTTTGCTCCAGCGTCCAGGTCTGCTTCTTCTTCAGGCTGCCGGCGGATGCGTTGATTTTGAAACCGAAGGTCTCCGCTGTCAGATACTTCCCTGCGCTGTTGATGAGCCCCAGAGGGATCTGCAGCAAGTCCCCATCAGCGCCGTTTAATGACATGATGGTGCGGAGATAAGAAGGGGAAAGAGTAGAAAGAGGGCAGCTTTGCTCCTACAGAGGATGATGATGGAGATGACAAAGAGTGCTCCCAGGCTGCAAAACCACACTGCTTTGGTCGAGCTGCAGGACTGGGTTTTTTCCTATTCTGTACACGCCCCTCTAAACAGACAGGAGCTGCAATTTTTTGCAAACCACCCCACCCCTATAAATCCTCTTAAGACACATTAGAAACACATTCTGCACACATTCATAGACCAAAATAAATGTATTCTCTGTATCCCCTTGGTAATCAAAGTTGAATACACACAAGATAATGCAGTGTCCTCACATTTCTTTTTTCTCTCTCATGCTTAAGACCAAATAATGCTGAAAGTCCCCCCTGCAAGCACTAATACAGGCTTCCTGTGTTGTAAATTTGTCACCTGTACTCACCACATTGTTTATATGTTTCAATAAACACAAAAGATCATCATCAGACACAATTATCTACAGCAGGGGTCTTAAACGTTTTCCAGGCCAAGCACCCCCAAATTAATGGCGAGATGGAGCAGGGATCCCCTAATCATATATATCGTATGAAACTGTGTTATATCAGACTGGTCCTATAGTCACTCTATTACAGATGGAGTCATGTAATGAAAGTAATTTCTCCCTGGGATTATTAAAGTATTTCTGATTCTGATTCCGGATTGATGGACAGGTGTTGTGAATGAAACTGTGCCAGGCTTGAAAGAGCTCCTGTGTGTCGCTGAATTTGTGCATTAATGACTGAAAGACATCTTCTGCCTCCATTTATCTGTTTACTACAGTGTGCTGAATTTGTGTTAATGTGTATTTAAAGACATTTCATCCATCCATCCATTCATTTTCAAACACGCTTATACCAAGTGGAGGGGTGCTGGTGCCTATCTCCAGCTGTCTACAGGCAAGAGGCAGGGTACACCCTGGACAGGTGGCCAGTCCATCACAGGGCAACACAGAAACAAACAGGACAAACAACCATTCACCCACACACTCACACCTACGGAGAATTTAGAGAAGCCAATTAACCTAACAATTATTTTTTTTGGACTGTGGGAGGAAGCCGGAGTACCCACGCATGCTCAGGGAGAACATGCAAACTCCATGCAGAAAAACCGCAGGCCGGGAATCGAAAAGACATTTCAATTATAGTGGAAAAAATTGCAGGAGGGATTATATAAAAAAAAAAAAGTCTAATCAACCAAAACTTTCACGACCTCCATGCAGTACCCCCTAGAGTTTGCGGACCCCCTGTTGAAGACCTCTGATCTACAGTGTTATGTTTTATATTATTTAACTGAATCATTGCCTTGTTTTAATCTTTGTGAAAATCTGGTTAGCACTAATCAGTAGCGACTGCACTGTGTGTATTTCCTGTTGTAGAACATCTCTTTAATATGACTAAAGTTAAACTGTGTCAAAACATTTGTTCAAAGGTATATAAGCACCACTGCAATTACCCTCAAAAACTTTAACCTATGAAGGATCCATATAAACAAAAGCATGTTACTAATTGAGTCCTGCCATCAGTTTCTTGGGTTTTGGACAACTTCCCTGCATTTCAGCTATAGACAAACCTTTTTACTAGAATCTTTTTGGAGGACAGGAAGTTTGAGTTGGTATGTATGAAATTAGCCATTTACGGGAGTAAGACATGCATGTAGTTTCTATTTTTATTGTCTATTTCTGTTTTGCAAATGGAATTGAAAGTTAATT